CTAGCCTTTTCTTTTTCTTATTACCTAAAAAAATGTTTTCTTCTTCTTTTTAATTTTCTCCCTTTAATTTTTTTCTCTTATGATTACTTTTTTTTTCTCCTCTTTTTAAAATCTTCTACTTCTCACCAGTTTTTCTCTTAACTTTATCTAATTCGATAAATTCTAGTTCTGTCCTTCTTCTCCCTAATAAAATCCTTTGTATCACTTCTCTTTCTTCCTTCTCCTATCATATGGTTGAAAGTTTCAGAGATCTCTGATATCATCCCATTCCCAAGCCCTATATGATCATAAAGCTTTGTTAATTTTTTGATAATTAACTCTGTAAAATGACTGTTGAATTCTTTTCTACCGTTTGTGGAGATTCAGCTGTCACTTTTAGTACACATCAGCTCTAAGTCAATACCTGGGTTGTCTTAATGTTTATACCATAGTGGCGGATTTCTCCTCTAGGATTAAGAGTGGTACTCAGTTGTTTCTTATGGTATGCTAATATTCAATTTGTCTTGGTAAATGTCATCTACTATAGTAGATGATTCCCTTGATATGAATAAGGTGATGTAATTCTTATTATTTCTCTGTAAATCAATACTCATATTACCTTTGTGACATTAACAATACTAGAGTTACATTCCCAGAGAACTTGATTGTTGGGCCAAATTACACCGCATCTTCCCCTCCCAGATTAACCAAGGTGGTTGGATCTTGGGGATGTGACAAAGATTATAGTTAGCCACACACAAAACCAGCCTCCCAAGGCATTAGGGTGGTTGCTAATGATTGAGAACCTCCAGCTAATTTAGTGATTGGTGCTATTACCATAGAAGAGGAAGAACATTTTATTCTTTATTCAGTAGGTCACTGTCTGGAAGGTCCCAGATTTGGCAATGAAAGACCAGTGTCCCGGAAAACACCTTAGGCCTGAGCAAACTGGAGGCTGCCACATTTAACAGCTGGACCACACTTTACTCTAGAAAAGAGATTAGATTATGTGGCTAAAGAAAGCAAAAGGGGTTGAGAGATTCTGAGGGATGGGTGTTTTGCTCCTTTGGGGGCTGCTGTTGGGGAGGAACAGGGTTGGCAGAGGGTCTGGTGTGGCATGGGATGAAGGCCACAGAGAGGCCCTGATGGCAGAGAGATGGTCCTTGAGACCCTCAAGTCCTCAACAGAGTTCAACCATGGTTACTGAGAGTGGGTTTTTGTCATATTTGAAAATGACGCAGGAGGGCCAGACAGATAGCTCAGGGGACTAAAGCATCTGCTTAGGCAGAGCATAGGGACCAGGGTTCCATCCTCAGTGTGCGGTGCTGGCCCCGCCCTTGGGGCACCCTGAGACAGCGATTGACACTGGGTGTGGTGGCACAAGCCTATAATCCCAGCACTTGGGATGCTGAAAATAGGAGGATCACTAAGAGTTCAATCTGTGTATCGAGACCCTGTAGACCCTCTACTAAACACATAAAAAAAGAGAAAGAAACAGAGGCAGGAGCTAAACTAGAGAAGAAAAAAGAATAAAACATACAGCGGAGACAGAGGCAGAGGTCAGGAGGAGATCCTGACCACAAGGCATTATTTGAACTTTGTAACAGTCTTGGGATAGCCACAAACTATGGGACCAAGGGTGGTGAAGTGGTCTATAACTCATTCATTAAGGATTTTTCTTTCCTTCTTTTTTTTTTTTTTTTGGTGGCCTGAAGATACCTTGAGGGCTTTTCTGGTTTGGTGTGAGTATCTGGGTTCGAACCACCACAGCATCTTGAGCATGAGTGTTTTGTTTAAGTAGACACTAATGGGCAGGCCCCAACTCATTCATTAATAAACACAAAGTATTAACTTTGTACTACCAAGCACTTCCCTGGACCTTAGGGAATATAAAAGTGGTAGGGCAAATGAAAAGTCATTGATGTTCACAATTAGATAAATCATCAATATAAGCCAGGCTTTGGATAGAACCTGCTTTAATGGGAAGAATTATCTATGGTCCTGGATACCATGCTTCTTAAGTAACTTCAGACACTGGCAAGAACAGGCAGCTAAGTTTCTTTTTTCTTATTTAAAAAATTTATTTATTTTTTAAAAAATGTATTCATTTGGTACTGGGTCTCACTATGCAGATTTGGACTCATAGTGATCCTCCTGTCTCAGCTTCCCCAATATTATAGGCGTGCACCACCAACCTAGTTTCAGAAGCTGGCAGGTGCACCCAGGGTTTCAGGGCTGGCCTGGCATGAGGCATCGGGGATCAAACCTGGGTCCTTGCACTTGCCAAGCAAGTGCTTAGACCTCTGAGCTATCTCCCAGCCCTAGGCTGCTAATTTTCTAAATAACCAGTGTTCCCTGCAAAGCCATTGCATTCAAGGGACCAGACTAAAACGCACCCCAGTTAGTGGTCTCGGTTCAGCTAAAAAAGAGAATCTGGGGATCTGTAAAGCATCTTGATGCATTGGCCCCAACCCAAACCACTGCATGTTTTTCTGGAGGTTGTTCTTGGCCATGACTTTTCCCCCCCAGCTCTCTGAGTGATTGTAATATACAGCTCGAGTTGCAGACACTGGTCTAGGTGGTCACAAACCTGACTTTAAGTGCTTAATGGATAGCATTTGACTTCAAGTGCTTTTTCTGCAGTCTTCATAGCACTCCTTTGCCTTTGATTCCCAGCTGGGCTCCCACCCTCACGGGTTGCCACATCATCCTGGGGCTATCAAGATCTCCTCAGTTTCCTCCTCTTCTTTCCCAAGTTTGGGCCAGGGTGTTGGAGGCCAGAGAGGCAGGAGGTCGTAGGTGAGTCATGTTTAGGGTGCACACTTAGTCAGGGGGGGAACTGAGAGCAGCACAACCTGCCCCTCCCCTCCCTCAGGATGTTGTGGGAGGGAGCCCGGGACATTGCCACCAAATGAACAATTTTTTCAGCCCTTCTAGAAGTGGCAGAGTAGACGGCCCTTTGCCCTTTCATTTCCTCTTACCATTCTCTTTGTCTGTGAAACTCCCAGAAAGGCCTGGCATCAAAGAAGGTTACAGAGGCTCGTTCATTTCCACACTGGACAACACCCCTGAAAATCTAGCAGAACATGACCATCTCCCCCAAAGAATGGAAATACATCTTAATTTTGTGTTAAAAGATTACCAGGGTCCCTCACTAATCAGATGCAGGAAGGAAAGAGGAAGAATCTGAACAACTTTGCCAGAGAGCCAGCAGCTATAATCATTAGCTATTTTGCAACACGCTGGAGCCTAGTAGTTATGGAAAGTGAGAATGCTGGGGAATGAGCATCCTCAGTTTGCACAGAGCACTTCCTGAAGAACATGGAGACTTTCAAAGACATCCTTAGCTGTCTGATTTCTCTTGTTCTTCAACACAGTTCTCTTGTTCATTTAGCACAGTTGTCTGCTCTTTTTTTTTTTTTTTAAATGCAAGTGTCTGAAAAATGAAGGAGCCATTTGTCTCTGTGCAAAAACTCCCCAGATTAAGCGACAGCTCAGGCTGCTGATGGGAGAACATTTCTGAGCCACTGCTGTGGGAGGCAGAAGCTTGCAGCTGCTTGGAAATGCGGCTTTCTGCAGTTGGACCTAACTGAACTGGGTCCTGAGGCAGTGAACTTGGGACTGGATCTTATCTCCGTGTCAGGCTTGAGGTTTGGAGGAAGTGCTGCTTACACTGTTGCACACATCAGTGGGGACCTTGTACAAATGCAGATTCTAATTCAGTATGTCGGGACTGCACGGGAGTCTGCAGAACGGATAAGCTCCAACCACTGGCAGGGCTGACATCTGTGGCACCTGGAACTTTTATCCAGAGCCTCTTCAAAAGTGTGCAGAGATGGAGATGGACTTTAAAATAGTGCTTTAGATGGAAATCTTTAATCTCCAAAACTGATGATGGGCTGGGGAAATAGTTGGGCGCTCTAAGCACCTGCCTGTCTGGCAAGTGCGAAGACCCAAGTTTGATTCCAGTACTGCCTGTCATGCTGGCCCTAGAACCCCAGGCACACTGTGCTGGCCCCAAAACCAGACGTGGTGGTACACACCTGTAATCCCAGTGCTGGGGAGGCTGAGACAGGAGTCTCATTACAAGGCCAAGCTGCATAGCCAGACCCTGTACCAAATTAAAAAAAAAATGATGGAATTAGTGGTCCCAATGTGACTCTTTGACTATAGCCCAGTGATATGGAGGAGGGACTTCTGGCCTTCAGAACCATGAGAGAATAAATTTCTGTATTAAGCCACTAAATTTGCAATTTGTCATAACAGTCACAAGAAACAAATCAGTGACTAGGCTAAGACAGGAGGATGACAAATTTGTGCCCCAAAGGGTGAGTGGGGGCTGGAGGGGTAGCTAACTGTGAAGGCCCTGGGTTCTACCCCAGTACTGGGGGGGGGGGGAGAATGATCAATGAAGGATGAAAACCAACAGATGGTAGAATTCCATAAACAGTAGAAAGTTTGCAAGTGAGTAATCAACTGTATCAGTGCTGCTAGGGCATCAGGATGAAGACCAGGAGCCATGACCTCAGCAGGATGGAAACACTCACGTCCCTGAAGTTGGGAGTGCTTGTGGAGTACCTAAAGCAGTACAAAGAGAAAACAAATGAAAGAAAACTACTGATTGTTTTTACAGTGTTTCCCACAAGACAACAGAAAAGCAATAGGCAGAGGAAGTGGGTCAAAGGAAGGGTTTAAGATAAGAAAGATCCAGTAGAGGGAGAAATTCCTATAGAGGAAAGGGAGGCACGGATGGTACGTCTGTAACAGCCATGAAGGTGAGCATGGGTGCAGCTAGTGGTGAGGTAGAGTCAGTACAATGGGTTGTGGAGACGCTACTTCTCAGCGAAGAGAAGCTATCAGCTGAGAGTGAGGGCTGCACCCATCTGCCTCTGTCCTCTGGCTCCATGAAGGAAGGAGAGGCCTCATGGGCATCTGGAAGGGGGCTGTTCTGGGCCAAACACTGACAAGAACTGCAGCATTCTCAGCCAAACTTTAACAATATTTGAATAAGAGGTCACAAGAGTGGTGTTTCTTTTTATTTCTTTATTAATGAGTCATGATACACAAAGACTTAATAAAAAGTTACATAAAAGGCTCAAGCATCATTGAGATGTTCGGGCATCACTCATTTTGGGGCCAGTGGCCACCTGTTAACACTGTGTAACAGAAGTCAGGCGCTCAAAAGCGCTCGATACTTCAAGTATCTTTCATTCTAGGTAAGTCCCACATGGAATCTCCAACCCAACAGCTGCTAATGGGGAGGGCATACCTGTGGCTCTGTGTTTACTATAACACATCTTAGGGGGCTTTGGGTTAAGGGCTTCCACACGTTAGTGGGCCACATCTCTTGGCAAAGTGAGACAGGCCACACTAGGCCACATACTCTCCACAGCAGGCACCATGAGGCGGTGGGCAAAGTCCTCAGATAAAATGTCCAGATGTCCTCTGTGTGACACAGAACATGGGTGGTGGTGAGAACCCCAAGTTATAGGGCCAAGGATGGCTAGGATTACCTCTGAGGAGAAAAAAAGCCCTTTAAGGAGGGTGTCAGAACAGTGCGAGTAAATCTGAGAGCACACAATGGCAAAGGCATGGAGTGAGGGGATTTCAAGAACACGGTGCTGAGGGGCTGGGAAGGTAACACTATTCTCTGTAAAACTGGTGGTAAGGTGGATGACAGCACAGTCACAAATCTGAGTGGGCTCTCTGGTCACGAAGTAGCACAGCCAACAAGGTTTCCCAGCCTGGCCCTGCCAGGGATGGATATCCTCGGGTACACTACTCCAGCCTATCTGGATACTTCCTCTTGAACAAGAAACCAGTTCTAAAAGTGAGGTGTTTTTACCCATTCTACCTATGAGGAAAATGAGTCATGGAAGAGGAATGTTTACCATCAGCCCAATCCGAGGCTGCAGAAGGCCAGCCTCACAGTCTCTCCCTCAGGCACTGTGGAGTTAAACTGTAGGCTGAGTTTAGGGAAGATGTCCTGTAAGACAGGGTCAGATTTTCTGCAGGGTGTGGGAGAGGCCGGGAGTGGTGCAACCTTTTCTGGTTAGCTTTATGGCTCAGGGCTTCATTCTAGGTCAACTCATCTGCTTCCAACAAGCCTTCTCTCACGCAGTGCTGTCAGAGTGGGCAGAAGACAGGTTTGTCCAGAGTGGACGGGAGTGTGCTGGTGGCGGGCGATGCCTGGTGTTTTCCAGCTGCCTTCTTCACAGGGCAAAGCATCCTGATCCTCACAGCTTCCTGCCCACCCTCTCTCCTCACTTCCAGTCTTCAGCAGCCACGCAGCTCTGCATGTGTGCCTGCTGTGGTCACGGCTCAGAGGAGCCTAAGGGTTGAGAAAAGCCTTGTCCTTCTAGCATTTAAAATACTTATGACTTTATTATAGATGCTGTGAAATACCTGAAGTGGCTGGTCTGAAATGTTCTCTGTTGTCCTTCCTCTTAGGAACAGAAGAGGGCTATTTTGACCAATAGGAAGTTTGACTAATAGAAGTCTGAACCGCTTCCTTCAGGAGCAGAGTCACGCCTCGGCTGGGCCCTCTGTGCTGGTGATTCCACAGGATCGGGAGCCCAGTATCCCTGGGCTGGAGAAGATCCCCAGTGTCTGGGGATCCTGTCAGAGCCTCATGTTCCTGGGTTTCTTTGCATAAGTTTTATTTTATTTTTTTTCTCCAAAGAGGATCCAGGCCACCTAAGGGAATGTTCTAGCTGACAGAATGACATCTGGAAAGGTCAGTAGCCACGCCACCTCATCTACTGAGTCGCTCTCGAGTCTTCTGCCATCCCAATCCCCCACCTTGGCTGGGAAAAGCCAGTCTTTGTTTCCATCAGCAGCACCAGAAAGGGAGGCACATTGTCCGGCATTCGGAGGATTGTCCCTTGTAAAAACAGGCGTGCAGGGGCAACATCACCAGGCCAACCGTGCTTCCTCACCTGCTGTGATTGTCAGGACCTGATCAGCGTCCAGACCCAAGAGGGCAATAAAAGCATGTGCCGATGGACACTAGAAGGGTTGGCCCATGTATGGGGCCCGCAGAGGCAGTGCTCAGTTGACTCAAGGGGAAATGGCTTTAGTCCTGGGGGTATTTTAGTGATAATGGGACTGAATCCTTTGGGTTAAGATTCAGCATGAACTAGAGCTTTTTGGATAGTGTCTACATGAGCTTCCTGTGTTTAATCAGAGAGGCACCAAGCAGCAACCGGGAACTCTCACACATCTGGGAAGACAGAGAACTGAACGCACACTGTCTGCTTACCCTAGTGTGCACATCTAAAGGTAATGAAAGCCCCCTTTAGAACTGACACACTCATGCCAGCCATTCGCCTCAGCAAATTAAAACTGTCTTCTAATATCTGCATCCTCAACCATAGCAACGCCCTCCTCTTCTCTCCAGTTTCTAGGGCACGAGTAGGGGCTGCCTTCCCATAGCTGACCAAAGCCTCCAGCTACAGTTCCCACTAACTTCCCTTCTCTCAGTCACTCTATTAATATTGGGTTGAACTTGGCACTGCTGGAAAAAAAAAAAAAAAAAAAAAAACTCAGTTAAAAAGACAACACAATTCCAGACATGTTATCAGAGAGGTCTGCCGAAGATCTGGGACTTTACCAGGCAGTAGGCACAGACCCCTTTAATAAAATAATCACCACTAAAGTAATTTAAAAATCTACAAAAGACATTTGAGCCCTGACACTGCAGAGGGGCCAAGGGGAGGAAGCCTGTCATGGCTGGGTTGGTACTCCGAACGTGGATACGCACTTCCATATCACACCAACGCTACGTAGTTAAAAGAAACACCACACCCACTGAGAGGGGGAACCAGGTGGAATCAACATTCGAGGAGCCTGGATATTGCTTCTGTTTAAGGGTGGCTTCCTTGTCTCTCTTTGGACAGCTGGAAAAGCCAGCACCCTCCCGCAAAGCCAGGCCCTGCCTACTCCCGGTCCTCCCTCCCTCTCTCCTTCCTGTGCCAAGTCCTCTGGCCAAGGGTTGTGGTTAGAAATGGTTTTCAGTGCAATTAGGCAGTGGAGAGTTCCGAGGGCTGGTCATGATCATGTGCTGGGCCATGGCCGTCACAATATCACACACTGCAGTTTGTGGGTGCCAGTGGCCCGGTCTCCTCGCCACTTGGTTTTCTTCTTCTTCTTCTGGCTTTTTTCTGGAATCTGTTGCCTTCAAACAATGAAAAGCAGAAAGGTGAAGTCAGAATGGGCTTTGCTCCTCTTCTGCCCCCCTCTCCCTTAACCTGGGCAGGTGGTAGAGGAGTCAGAGGGGTGGCTTGGGGACTCTGCTCTCCCTGTCCTAGCCACTGGAGGAAGGCCTGGGTGAACAATACCTCTAGAGGGCAAAACTGGAGAGGAAGTGGGGAAAAACCTAAACCACCCCACTGATGGGAATTTCTGAATTTGGCTGTGGCTATATTTATCTAAATCATAAACTCCACCAGAGTGTTGGCTTCTCTTTTTGTGGTTCATATTTTAAATAAAATAACAGGCCAAATGGGTGCAGGAGCTTTCACACTGCTCTTGTTAACTTTTCCTATATCCAAACTTGACCTTGGAACTACAGGTCCATGACCAAGATATTAGCATACGGGCACAAATCCTTGATCTTGCTCTTGTTCTCACTCTGTCTCTTGCTCTCTTTTTTCTGGCTCACTTTGTAGCCCAGGCTGGTCTCGAACTCTCAATGATTCTTCTGAGTGCTGAGATTACAGGCATGTGCCGACATGCTTGGCTTTGCTTTTCTTTTCTTTCTTTTTTTTCTTTCTTTCTTTCTTTCTTTCTTTCTTTCTTTCTTTCTTTCTTTCTTTCTTTCTTTTTTGTACTGGGAATTGAACTCATGACCTTGTACTTGCTAGACAGGCGCTATACCATTAAGCTACATCCCCAACCCCAGGAAGGTATCCTAATGGAGGCAGAGACCCAGAAACAAAGCATTTTGAGCATGTGGAGTGCCAGTGAAAACATATGGTGGAGGCTGCCCTGCTCCCATTATGTTGAGGACTAAGGAGAAAATGAGATGTGGAGCATGTAGGGTATTTATGGAGGGCCTGAGACAGCAAATGGGATTGCTGTTCAAGTCTTGGGTCTGATTTACAGCTAACCAACAGCTCTGTCACTGGCACCAGGGCAACACGCCCAAGGCACGGCATCTGAGAACCCTGAGTTCTTCAGTGATGAAAGTCTAGAGAATGAGATAAAATAGGTGGCAGGAAGAGCAGCCAGGAGGCCATTTCAATCATCGAAGCACAAGGGGGACAGGGTCTGCACTGTGTCTCTGCAAGGTCTCTTCATCAGAACTGCTGAAGCTTGGCCCGGAAGCAGTGCTGGGGCTGCAGGAAAACACCCTAGGGCACCCTGATGGCAGGCAGGGAGGAGGAGAGGGGCCCATTCTTTACATGCTGGAAGTGCTGAAAGCTTGGCCAGGAGAATCTCAGGGTGGGCAGGCTCTCCGCCACCTGCCAGGGAGCCAGTGCCCCTCTGGGGCTGCCCTGGGCAGAAACCATTTCCATCCAGCAAGTGGGGCAACTCCATTTAGCTGCCCAGCAACCTCACTCACAGACCCATGTATGGTTAGGGGAAGCCAGAAGTAGACTCCAAGTACAGGGGAAAGAAATGGAAGATGTAGAATAAATGGTAGAAGAAGACCTGAATGGCCTCCACTCCTGACTCAGGATGGGAGCTGCAGCCCTCCAGCCCTCCAGCCCTCCCGCCCTCCAGCCGCAGCCAGGCCGACCCATTCTGCAGAGGTCCGAGCTGGGCGGGTGCAGCACTCACCTAATCACTCGAACGAGGTCGTGGAAGGCTTTGTCTACATTGAGGGGCGGGTCCTTCGCACTGGTTTCTATGTAAGGAATCTGCAAAGCAAAGCTCAACTTGGTCAAAGTGGCACCAAGATCCACCAGGTACTGTTCCACCCCTGCAACCACGAGCACCCAGGGCTCTGAGGAGCCTGCATGGTTAGAGCCCCCCAGCCGCCAGGAATCCCAAACCTCCTTTGGTGGCTTCTTTCTGCTCGTTAAGGTTGGAAAATTTTACTAATGGCTTTTCAAATTCTCTTTCGTCCTCTAGTCACAGATAGTTAACAGCTCCCTAAAAATAGAATAAAATGATATTTTTATATACCCAAAGACTAAAGATTGTTTCATTTCTCAAACTCAGATATACTTTTGAGTCTATTCATTATTCTTTCCGAGGCCGAATTCTCTACCTTGAGAAGACCTCTCTTTCTGGCACCTCTGGAATGGACACCAGAGGGAACGTGGAGAGGGGCAAGGATGGGTGCACCCTGACCTGGGGTGATCGTGTCAGGTCTGCGCCAGCCCTACCCAGCACGCCGCCAGGGCCAGCTCTTGCTCACTCTGTGTGCGAGTTGGGAGCCCGGCCAGGGTGACACAAGAATAATGCTGAAGAATCATCACACAGCTGGTGGGAAGGCAGTGGGATGAGGGCGCTGTGCTGAGGTGACACAGGCCACATCCATCCTGAACCTTTAGCGGCCAGAGAGGAGAACAAAGGCTTGAGGAGGCCAGGACATACTCCCGTGTGCTCAACTTCTATATGGGGGCCCACGCACGTCAGAAGTGCTCATCTCTTATGTGATGGGGCATCAGGGCAATGTGCCCAGGCCCCTCTGGGTAGACTGAGATTAGACATAAACTTTTCCAATTACAAATTTGTGCCCTTCACTATAACACACAAGGACAGTAGAGAAAATAAAAATGACCCTTCATTAAAAGCATCAGAGAAGGGCAACAAAGCTGCTATTTTAGAGGTGTATACTGTACTACAAAGCAGTGCCCAGAATGCACACACTTGGTATCTTCCTGTCAGTGATCCTTGTGGGAGGTTAGAGGTGCACACTGTTGTGGCTTCAAGCACAAGGCTTGTGGTGCTGACAGACACACAATGAGCATGGCTCAGGCCCTTGACATTTTACTGGTCAAGTACCCGAGGTTCCAATAACCGGGAAAGGAAAGTGCTGTACTGCTGTGGGCTGTTTGGCTGCCTGGGTCTTGACCTCCTGCCTACCTGCAGCCTTGTGCTAATCTTAGAGGCAAGGGCACACCCCAACTCTGCACTGGGGAGCCAGAGCACAGAGACCCCAGGCAGGGCCAGCCATGATTTGAAGAGAGTCAAGGATTGAAAAGGCTAAAGCTGCACTGCCCCACCTGGCCTCCCAAGGACAGCTAGGGGTGTGGAGCTCAGCTCTGGAGCTGCTTCCAGGCCGGGGCACATGTCCAGGTGTGGCCAGTGCCTGTGTGGATCCAGCCTGCTGGAGCCCACCTGCCTCCTGTACTCCCAGCTCAGTGATCTCCAGGTTCCAGCAGTCTAGGTTGCTGCTGGCTGTATTTCCAGCCCAAGGCTCAGAAGGGCATGAGCTGTATTATTCCACTAGGTACCCAGACACCCTCCACCTCCTTTCTGGTGTTTCTGCTTCTGTTACTGAAGATGTGCATTATCTTAGAACTTCAGCAATTCATTAGCAATAGGACTGAAACTAAGAGAAACTTTAAGTAAATAGCAGCGCCATGAAACTGCCCCAAAGAAATGCCCAGCTTCTGTATTAGATGGGAAGAACCTATCCTGGATGGCTAAAGAGGAACTTGCCTCATGAGCTGGAGCTAGCTAGACATCATTGACAGCAGTCTGCCAAGTCACTCGGCCAAACAACAAATGAGGTGGCAGTGTTTACTGCGGAGGAAACAGCGTCAGGTTGAGACTAGACACCCCAGCACTGGGGACTGGGCTGGGACACACTCACCAGCCAGGACATTCCTAGAAGTCCTTAACCCCCTGTGTCTCCTTCCTTTTTATCTGCACACTGGGGCTACTGCAGCCTGAGCAGTTCCCTGATCCACCCAGAGCGGCAGAGGGAACAAGGGGAGCACTTAGCAAACCCACCTTAGACCTGAGGGACTGCTCACAGTAATGGAGCCAGAGACTGAAATGCAAACGGCACCTCTGGCCCATTTCCTTCACGACAACGGGTGCCGGAGTATTCCCCACCAAGTCCATTTCCAATCCTGACCTCCAGGTCCGCTCCTGGGCTGGCCCTGCCTTGCTGCCTGCTCCCTGCTCAAGAAGGCATTCTCTTCCTTTGGCTCCCAGACACCACACTGGTCCTCGGGCATCATTGGCCACTCAGTCCTTCTTGCTGATCCTTCCTGATCTCCCCACACCCACAAAAGTGAAGTGTCCCCATCCTCAATCCCAGGGCCTCTTCCACATCTACATCCTCCCCTTGCCCCCCGCCAATGCTTACAATTCCATTGCCAGATGATGATTTCCAATCTTAACCTTTAGACTGGGTTGTAGGACCTCTGTCATGGCTTCTCCCCTTCCATTGACAAGGCTTCTCCAAGTGAAGAGACCCAAACCAGCTCCCATCCCTCCCTGCACTGTCTTCCCTCACACAGTGACTCGGTGCCCACCAGTCTTTGGACAGTTGCTTATGCCCAACGTCCTGGACTCACCCTGGTGCCTTTCTTCTCTTGTTCTACATCCAATTTGGGAACAAACCCTGGTGGCTCCCTGGGAGACACAGATGGAATGCACAGCTTTCCCGAAGCTCACAAGCACCACTTTGGCTTAGACCAACGGCATGTGGGATCCCGAGGCAACCCCTGCCTGTCTGTGCGCTCTCTGTCCTGCCGCTATGGACTGTTACCCACCTGACTGCCGCTATGGACTGTTACCCACCTGACCACCAGAGGGAAGCATTCAGGTATAGTCAGACCACGTTCCTCTTCCTTCTGAACCTTCCAGTTTTCCATCCTCACTCTAGTGAAAGCCCGTGAGGCCTGAAGCCACCTCATGGCATTGCCTCCTACTGTTCACTCCTCCTGCTCAATCTGCTCAGCCACCACACTGAACTCTGTGCTGCTCTACAAATGCCCACCTCAGGGCCTTCACATGGATTATTCTCTCAGATAACTGCATGGCTCATTCCCTTAAATCCTGGCCGAAATGAGAAAATCAATTTTTTTTTTTTTTTTTTTTTGTACCTGGGATTGAGCTTGCCAGGCAGGCTCTTATGCCACTGAGCTATCTCCCCAGCCCTCCTGGCAGAATGGACACATTCAGGAAAAGCTTCCCCCACCCACCTTATTTGGAGAGCATCCCCTGCCCTGATTTGCTTCTTTCTGTAGCCCGTGTCTCCTTGGATGAACTCTTAATTTGCTTTGTTTACTGTCTGTCACTGGAAGTAAACACCGTAAGGCAAGGATTATTTTGTCTTAGAGCCAATGGAATGAACAAACAAACCAATCCAGAAAGCAGAGACGACAGTCAACAATGGTGTGCCCCTTCCTCTGAGCACCGAGGGGCAACCTGAAAGCAAACTTCCCAGCAGGCTGAGGAGGCTGGCATACAACCAAGCCAAGGAGACCAGGGGCCCTGCCTCTGTGGTAGGGGGACCAGATATCCCTCCAGAGGAGAGAGAGGATCACAGTGAACTAGAGAAGCTAAGATGCCTGCTGATGTTCACAGTGCAGCCCAGGGCAAATGCTAGTTTAATCACTTGTCAAATGGAGATAACAGCACCTCCCACTGGTGTGGCTGTGAGGGGCAAATAATATGGTATATGTGCTCCTCTGGCTCGATGCCTGGCATGCTGCCTGGCACAGCGCAGGGCTCGGCGAGCAGAGCTGATCAAGCTGACTGAGCAAATCAGGTGCTGGCTCAGCTGTGGACAGAAGCCAGGTCCTCTCCTGAGCCCGGGAACGAATCTGCTGTGCCTGGGTGGGTGGGGGCTGAACACCCAGCCTTTAGGGAGCTTCTAATAACTGCAGAGTGGGTCTGTCTCTGTTCATTAACTCATTTGGGAAACACCTTGCCATCATCTTTACCCACCATTCTACTTTTCTGTAGAATCCAGCCACTACTAGGAGGCCGGCAAGAAGGATGGAGCATTGACCCTTATACACTCCTTCCCTGCAACACACACAACACAACACAACACAAAACACACACTTACATTGTGTTTGGTTGCCATTTCCTTTCCTTGCTCCCTCGTGATTTTCCTCAGGTGCATCAAATCAACCTTGTTGGCCACGAGGATCATCGGGAATGACTCCCTGGAGGGGAAACGACAACCCTGTGAAGCCATCCACCCCATGTGGTTAAGGCAGTGCAGCCAAACCTCACACACATGGACAATGCACAGCATGACACACAGAGTGGGGAGAGGACACAGTGAAAAGGGAAGGGTTTGGGCCAAAGAGGCCAGGGAGCGTTGGTGCTGCTGGCTGGCTGCCTTGGGCAGAGCCTCACGCCTTGCACAGGGCTCGTGGGGAGACCAACCAGTCCCCACTGCGCCATCCTCGGCTGTGCCAGCCAAGGGGCTCTGCAGCCCCCAGCAGCAACTGATGACAGGCAGCGTCTGGTCCAGCACAAGCACAGGATCAGTGGCAGCTGCGACATGAGGATGGTGCCCAAGAAAGGAGGAGCAGGGGCCAGACATGTCTGCCTCAAAATTCAGACCTCTGTGGCCAGTTACTGTCTAAATTGAATGAAAAGTCATCTCACCCTATCTATGACAGCCCTGGATGTTTTCATTAAAATGTAGTTTGACAGGTGAAGGATGGTTCTATATTACTTTCCTTATAGTTCTTTGATTAGCAACACAGTTAAATATTTTCCCACAACTGGGTCATTTATGCTCTTTCACGTATTTGTTCTTTCATCTCATCAGGTGTCCTGCTCACAATATTCTACTGCAGGGTGCATGCGCCCCTTTACTTGACAAGGTTATTAATGCTCTTTCCTTAAGAACAGATGCTAATTGGATGTTTTGGGCTTTGCTGGGATTTGTTCAAAGGTTGCTGTTTTCTTATTAGTTTGCCCTCTTATTATCAATTGGGTTTAAAACAAGCTCCAAAAATTAATAAATAAAAAAAGTTCCAAATTACTTAACTGTTCTATACAATGCTAAGAAAAAACAGCCTTTAATTAGGGCTTAGAAATCTCACAAATGCCATTGGACCAATATTCTGGGGAGAAAATTCACTTTTTCTTTGCATATAATATAATTTGGCTAAAAAAAGAGTTGAGGAGGAAATATTTTTTTCTTTTTTGGCAGGAACTGGGGATTGAACTCAGGCCCTTGTGCTTGTCAGGGAAGTGCTTATTCTACTGAGCCATCTCCCCGTCCCCTAAAAAAAGAGTTGAAAAACAAAGATGTCACCTGCAATGCCTTGACTGAAGGGACAGTTTATGGAGTTAGGAGGGACACGGCCCTTTGGAGCCTTGGAAGCAGTCTGACCCCAAAGAGAGAAACAGGAAGGCATGAAAGGAACTACCACGGCCAGAGAATTCGGCCCTGGGCTCCGTGCCCAGCTTCTCCTTGGGGCCCAGAGGCAGAGGTAGAACAGCGGCCCTGTGGGCCAGGAGCAGGAAGGCCTGGCCCGCCGCCCTCACCTGTCCTTGACACGCAGGATGAGCTGGTGGAAGCGGTCCACGTGCTCGAAGCTGGCCTTGTCGGTGACAGAGTAGACAATGAGGAAGCCGTCCCCCGTGCGCATGTACTGCTCCCGCATGGCGCTGAACTCCTCTTGTCCTGCTGTGTCCAGCACTGGGGAGGGACAAGGCTGCTCAGGGGTGCATGCAAAAGCTGGAGCCCCCACAGCCTTCAGACCCTAGGCTGCTGCTGTTCCCACTGTGATTGCACCCGTTCTCTGGGGCTCGGCTTCTTCAGAGGCTCTTTAGTGTGCAGCACGGCTAGGGCTCCCTTCGAGCTGGTGCTCACTGGGCCTAGGACGCTACCCACAAGCAAACCACACGACATCATGCTCAGCCTTCCCAAGGTCCCCCAGGAGGGGCTCCCCTCACTGCAGATGTGCCCACAACCGGGATTCTTTGGGACGTGACCTGACTCTGAGCTCCATTTCCTCCAGCTAAACGGAAAGAATGGCTCCACCGTGCAGCCTCCAAGGGAGCGCATGATTGTGGAGGAGGCTATGGGAGCTCTGAAGATGCCATGTGGCCAGAAGGGTCCCCATTCCCCTGAGTGGACAGACCCCTTGTGGGCCTGGGTTGGGTTTCTCAGCTCCTAGGCAGGGAAGGGGACCTGGGGCAGCGATCAGGGACAGCTTGGGGAGGGAGGAAAAGGCTGTTGCCTCCAAGTCACCAGCCCCAGGCCCCGACGCTCTTTTCCTCATACTGGGACAAAGCACTCACCCTGTCTGCCTTTGAGAGAGACTGGAGATAGCAGCCACAGCCAGGGTCACCCTTCAGTACAGCAGGACTGCAACTCCAGCCCCCCAAGCAGAAGTCTGACCCTCCAGCATGCTGCACACCTCTGCTTACAATCAGCTTCCCTCCCACCTGCCTGACTCACACTGCTCTCTAAGCAGACCAATGTCTCCCTCTCCCAGGAGGCAGTGGAGCTGGTGGTCAGAGTCTGAAGTCAGACTACTGTGCTGAGTCCAGTTCAGCTTTCTGGGATGTGACTCTGGGCAGGCTCCCCTCTCTTGGGCCTGTATTTCCTAAAACGGGACAGCCACAGTTGCTGTTTGAGTTAATATGCACAGTGACCTCCAAACAGGCTGAAGCCCTAGAGCAGGGCCTTCTCTCCCATGGCTGGCCTGGTACTCCTTCCTTCCATCACTCTTCTGCCACCCGCTCCCCTTGCCTCAGATCATTCTGGTGTGGATTCTGCTGGCAGACTCCTAGGTTCACCTTGGTCTGCACCAGCGCTCTCAGTCTCTTTGCTGCCACTGAATAGCTCCCTGCCCCCATTGCCACTGGGCTGTGGGCTCCCAGACAGGCAGGGACCTGGTCTGCATAAGCCATCTATTTGGGGTCTGGCACAGAAAATACCTAAAGTGGGCTTGAATGAATAAATGTGAAGTCTAAGCAATTTCTTTTGTTCATTTAGCATCTGAGTGCCTATTATATGCGACACAGGTTCTAAACCCTGTGCAGACCAGGTGAGTGAGGCAGAATTCTTGCTCTTGCAGGCCTTGAAATCTAGCAGAGAGATAGATAAGCAAGAGGCTGAGTAAGTACCAACTCTGGGCTGAGTAAGTACCAACAATGAAGAATGCAGCCACTTGGTGGGTCTCTGGCAGAAGCCGTCATCACTTTGGACAGGGAAGGAAGGGACCTCTTGGGAGGCACCTGTGAGCAATGGCTGAACACGGAGGAGGGCCAAGTGACCCAGGAAGAGCTCTCCAGCCAGAGGGACAACAGCAGCAGCAGCAGCAAAGGCTTGAGGTGCCCATGAGTGAGGGCTGGCCTGATCGCTGAGGAGAAGCCCAGGGAGAGGTGGGCAGGCCAAGGGGCTTTGCTGCCCTGGCTGAGGTTTACTTCATCCTACACAAGATGGGGCAACTGGAGTGTGGAAAAAGAATGGCATAATTCAGAGGACACTGAAAAGTCCATTCTGGTTGCTAGAGAGAAAACAGGCCATGCGTGGAAGCATAGGCTTTAGTGAGGAAGCACATGCAGTAATACAGAGGACATAGAACGGAGGAGGGCTGCTAAGCCAAGAGCCAGCAGTCTAGGAAGCGACCAAGCACAAGCCATGTTCTACATGGAGTGGCCCTAAGGGTGCTGCTGGGTTCTGGTCAGAGGAACTGACTGGGGGAAAACAAGGTTCAGTGTCCTCAGATTTTGACATAGCCTGCAGGGCTGAGCAAACCCCATCCGTGGGACCTCTATGGGCATTTTAAGACTTCAGTCAGATTCTGAGAAGAAAAGAGGGTTGAGATGTAGAGATACGGAATATCCATGTGTGGATGGTAAGAAAGCCACAGGACAAGCTACCCCAGCACCCAGGACTGCACCTCTTGGCAGGCAGGTATGTTCCACAGGCCTTGAGAAAGTGACCTATGCCCACAGCCAGAGGGTGCCCACCCTGCTCCACACTTCAGCACTTTGAAGGGCAAGTAATGAGGAACCAGGGTGCGGCCCAGACAGGAGAGCAGCTCGTGGCTGTGCTGGCTCCTTCCTTGGGCCTCAGCCTCATGCAGGAAATGAGAAGCAGGCTCCAAGGCCCTTGGTCCTCACAGCTGTCATATCCTAGAGCTTGTTCACCTGGATATAAGAAGTCAGGACCCACAGCCAGGTAGGGGAGGACCCACAGTGGAGTGGCAGAGACACAGGAAGACTGTCCCTTCAACTGGATTCCTCCCATGGAGTCTCCTGCCCCTAGTAAGTCCCACAGAGAACTGGAATCAATAAAACAATGAAAGTGGCAGGATGTGTGGATGAGGCGGCCTGCATTGATACCAGAAGACCTCACGGCAATATATTTAAAGGTGTTGTTGGTGGATAGTAACCAAAACAAAACTAGACATCTAAAATCTAAGTTTTAAAAACATGGTTAAAAAAAAGGGGGGGCGGGGAGATGGCTCAGTAGGATAAGCGCTTGACTGGCAAACTCAAGGATCTGAGTTCAATTCCTGGTTCTGCCAAAAAACAACAACAACAACAAAAAAAACCCCAAAAAACAAAACATGGTCATTCAAAGATTTTAAAAAGCTGGGCATAATGGCATGTGCCTGTAATCCCAGCACTCCGGAGGCTGAGGCAGGAGGATCACTGTGAGTTTGCAGCCAACCTGGAGTACAAAGGGAGTTCACAGCCAGCCTGAACAGCATAGTGAGACCTTGCTTCAACAAACAAACAAACAAACAAACAAACAAACAAACAAACAAGTTTAAAAAGTTCAATAAAAAGTGGAGTGTAAAAATGGATCCACTGGAAAGGAAAAAAGGTCATTTTTGACATTGACAGCCTTAGAAATTATATAACTCATGTTTTCTAAAAGAATTAGTGGAGGATGTACTTCATCAAAGTGAAAAATCCGTGAAAGAAGTGGTTTTATGAACAACGCTAAGCAAAGAAAACAGCAAAACATGAGTTAAGCTTAAATAGATGTTGTATAATTAAAAGATAATAGGCAACAAGTTACAACTAAAATCTATGAGAATGCATGTCTGTGGGAAGAGACCGGGAAAAAGTAAGCAACTATACATTGAGGAATCCAAAAATTCAAAATCTGAAATTCTCTGCAGTCTGAAACTTTTTATATGCCAACATGACTATCAAAAGATACTAGAACATTTTGAATTTTGGAGTTTTGGACACGGATGCTCAACTAGGAAAGTCTATGTGAATATTCTAAAGTCTGAGAAATTCACATCTGGAATATTCCCAGTTCTACTATGACATCCCTATTTTGGTACTGGAAAAAGGATGCGGTGCCTGTACTGAAGCTTATTCTTCATTTGTGGAGGCTAAAGGTCTAGACTGCAGCCTGATTCTGACAGAAGTTCCTTGACTTCTGATTTCTGTGGTCTAGAGAAAGGAGCAGTTAATGCTTACATTTTTTATTCCTCCTTTATAATTTCTTATAACTTAAAAAAAAAACAATTTTGCATGTTTATACCTGGGAATTTAAACAACTAATTTGAAGGTAACATTATGCAATACAACAACCATTGTTGAATTACTATTATTTTGTTTAGTGAAATTCTGTATTGTCATTTTTTTTATCATTCAATATTCTCTTAAAAATAATGAAAAGAATGTCTCAGTGTGCACACACTTATGTAGACAGCATAACCACTTGGAGAACAGAAGCAAAACCCTGAACTTCACAATCAGTACAGGAGAGCAAGGAGAAAACAAAGTAAAGGGGACCAATTCAACAAAAGGCAAAAATAAACCTACAAAACAAACAAAACAAAAAAAAAGAAAGAAAGAAAAGAAACATGAAATAATATGGCAGAAATAAATCTATCACAATAAATATAAATGGTTTAAATTCACCTATTAAAAGCAGATACTAAATACAAAATCCATGTGTTAGCTACTTACAAAAGACACATGTAAAGCAAAATGGCAGAAAAGATGAGAAGGATAAAAAAAAGAATATGCCAGCCTTGGGCTAGCCAAACGAAAAGTATCCACAAAGTAGAATTCAAGGCTAAATGATTAAACAGGACAAAGTCAGCATAATTATAATGGAAAAAGATACAAACATCATGAAATGCTGAAATCAAATGTACCCTGACAGTACAACTGCCTTACAGGTTTTATATGTTCTTGGGCCTATTAGTCAGGTTTCCAATCTGAATATATGTAGTTAACTTTATAAAGTCTTATAAATAAATGAATCTGATGGGGAAAAATAAAAGAGAAATGGAGACAAGGGGGAAAAAGAACTGAAATGTGTTACGTACATGTACCAATTTCCTACAGTGAATGTAATCATTATGCATTAATCAATATGTACTAATAATAAGTCAGAAAAAAAAGTGTTGAAGCCATGTAACCAAAAATGTCACTTTAATATATGATATAATATATACTTAAAGGCTGATAGCAGGCAGTTTTGCTATTGAGAAATGATTCTACCTGTATTCCTCATGCACGATGCTATGAAGGTAGGAGTCCAGAGACAGAAAGCATTAGTCACTGGGAAGAGCTTTTCTGCCCATGTGTATGTGTGTACATGTGCGCATGCGTATGTGGGGGGTGCAGGGGAGGCGGTCCTAGAGATGACAGCAGTACTGCAGAGGAGGATCAAGCAGAGACTGCCCCTGGATCTGGTAGGTTTCAGAA